GAAACTACCAGCCGCTCCGCGGGAGAAAGATGAGGCGTTCTGCTCCCGTAAAGATTTACAGCCTCGGAAACCCTGTGCAGGGTCGCTATGGGTCGGAACCGACTCGACGGCACTTAACAACAACAATATTACGAGTCGGGTTGCCAACCTCAAGGTCAACAGTTCAAAACTACCAGCAGCTCCGCAGGAGAAAGATGAGGCGTTCTGCTCCTGTAAAGATTTATAGCCTCGGAAACCCTGTGCAGAGCCACTATGAGTTGGAACCGACTCCACGGTACTTAACAACAACAACAACAATATGATGGTCGGACTTCTGGTGTGGCAATGTAGGATCAGTGCTGGGCTGCAAACCATAAAAGCGGTAGTTCAAACTCACCAGCTGCTTCTCAGAAATCCTATACAGGGTCACTATGAATCAGAATCAACTCAACAGCACTTAGCAACAACAACAATATGTTGGCTGGAACTGAGGTTGCAGTTATAGAGGATATATTGTACAGTGAATTTTATGTTGTCAATTTTTATGATTGTTCATTTTCCCTTTTGCTCTGTATTACTGGGTGTTCACAGTAATGAATGGAATGAAATGCTATTTAAAATCACAAAGCTATCAAGAGTGGTGTTGTAGGATAAGCACTGGACTGCTGTCTGCAAGGTCAGTGGTTCATACCAATCAGCCGCTCCTCAGAATCCCTATACAGGGTAACTATGAGTTGGAATGGACTTGATGGCACTTAACAATAGCAATCAGGAGTTGTAGCATTTCTTTCTAGGTTTCAACCCAATCATTGCCAATCTTTGTTTTTTTGGTTAGTCTTGATGATGTATCTGGATTAATATTACTCTTGCATACCAAGGCATACCATCTAGGACTTCTACTTTGACTGCTAGACACAAAATCAGTTCTCAGCTAAAGGAATCCACGTGTGTACTCAAAAAACTAGAAGTAATTAAAAAAAAAAAAAAACCACTCGTGGAATTCAGTGATGATTTCTTTATAGCACCATTGCCACTGGTTTAGTTCATACTATTTTAAAAAGGTTGTTAGCAATCCACAGGTTATCCTGAAGCCTCACAGCAGGAGTCCAAATTATGATGTAGCACTGTGGGTTAATGTGCTGGATTGCAAAGTTGATTTGAACTGCAAGGTTGGTGGTTCAAGCCCACCAGCTGCTCTTTGGAAGCCTTCTACAGCATTGCTATGGGTCTGAACTGACTCGACGACACTTAACAACAATTTAAAAGTATATGTTTGATTTTTTTTAAGAAGGTTTGTATTTTATGGATGAAATTATCATAGGAAAGTAAAAATAAGACACTGGCAAAGAATAAAATACCAAAAAGGGAATGCGTAGGGACCAGCAAATAAAACCTCAATGAGATAAAACAATTGCCATAACATTTATACAAATAATGCACTTGTTAAATGGTGTTTTAACTATGCCCAATTCCCCTCAAGGAGGGACATTTGTAAGTGCTCTAAGCTATTTTTGTTTAAATATGAACAAATAAAAAAATAGCATAGCACACTTACTAAAATACCTCTTTCAAGGAGAACATGATTGGAAGAAAGTATAATGTGCTCATTATTTGCATAAAAATACAGTCATATTTAAAATGTGAAGCTTAGTTACTCAGAAGACTGCCCCCTCCTCGAATTGAAATACATGACTTAAAGTACTTTATATTAACAATGAATTGTTGAATTTTAAAATCTTTACCCTGGACTCCTGGTGTGGTGCTGTGGGTTAATGTGCTGGACTGCAAAGTTGGTTTGAAATACAAAGTCAGGGGTTCAAGCTCACCAGCTGCTCCTTGGAAAATCCTATACAGGGTTGCTATGGGTCAGAACTGACTCAACAGCACTTAACAACAACAACAGCAGCAGTCTTTATCATAGAGTTCTGGTGTGGCACTGTGGGTTAATATTGCTGGACTGAAAAGTCGGTTTGAAACGCAAGGTCAGTGGTTCAAGCTCACCAGCTACTCCTTGGAAACCCTATATAGGGTCGCTATGAGTCAGAACCGACTCTATAGCACTTAATAACACCACCAATCTTTATCCTGTAGTGCCGGTGTGGCACTGTAGAATAAAACACTGAACTGCAAGTTCTACAGTTCAAACTCAGCAACTGCTCTTCAAAAACCCTATACAAGGTCGCTATGAGTTGGAATCACCTTGATTGTACCTAACAACAACAACAACAAATCTTTATCACATTCACCCAAAGCAAGAGTATTGCTTCTACTTGTGTTTGAATATACTGACGCCCTTCAATCAATGACTTAGACTGTGTTAACATAGTTATTGAGGAAGTCTTAATTTTACCCTCATTAACAATTGGAGTCCTGGTGTGAGTCTTCAGGATAAGCACTGGACTGCTAACCACAAGGTCAACTCTTCAAACCCACGAGCTGCTCCAAGAGAGAAGGATGAGGCTGGCTGCGCCGGTAAAGATTTACAGTCTCAGAAACTCTACAGGGTTGCTGTGAGTCAGAATCTACTAGATGGCAGTGAGTCAGGAGTTTCTCTTAAAGAAAAGATTACAATACCTGTTGTTGTGGTGGTTCGGTGTCAGTGAGTCTGTTCTGACTCATAATGACCTTGTATATAGGGTTTCTGTGGCTTTAAATCTTTGTGAGAGCAGAAAACTTCATCTTCCTCTCCAGAGCAGCTGGTAATCTCGAACCGTCGACGTTGTGGTTTGCAGTCCCGTGCTTTTCCTTTGGAATCACCATGCTCCCACAACACAGTTCATTACAACACATGTAGGCTTTTACAATAAATAGCTTCAACTGACTAATTCACATTGTATGTTTGTTCCTGCTAACTTTATAGCATTTTCTGATGTCTTTCCTTTTAATAATTATATTTGCTTTTAAGATGTTCCGTGGAAGTTTTTCTTTATTGTGGAAAGATGTGCTACTGAGTACTATGCAGTAAGCTCAATAACAAAGTGTAATTATGACAAATTGTGAGTGAAGTGTAATTAAAGAGCATGGAAAACAAAATCAGAGTTTGAGAAGTGTATTGTTTTAATTTAAAATTATAGACATTGTGTGCATTACCTGTTTCATGTGGTTTTCATCTAATTATAGGAACATTTCAGTGTGAGGAGCAGCTTGTTAACTGCTAGCTTGTTAAAACTAATTAGGTAGTACTCTTAACCCTTGAAATCTACCAAGTCTTTCTTTTCTGCTTGCTTTACTAATGACTTCCCTGTCCTCTCCCAAAACATTTTCCTACTTCTCCCATCTTTTGGTTTCATTGATGTACGTGAAATGTGAATACAGACGGAGACCTTTATGTTATAGAACTTCATTCCGTGAAAAACTCTTCCAGAGGACCAGAGCAGCTGGACGTGCACCAAGGTATCTAGAGTTTGTGGAAGTGTTAAAAACTAGGGGGTTAGGTTGTTGATACAACTGAACTGTATACTCTTCTATTAAAAATATAATATTAGTAACTGGACTAGGGAAATGTAGTCATATTCTACAGTTGATGTCAGATAAAATAATATCACAGAGTAAAACAAAACCTTAATATTCACTGCAAAATTTTATACAGATGAATTTTCAAGTGCATAAAAGTATTTTATAGGGTAAGTTAATCTCAACATTTTTTTCTTTCTACTCCAATGTGCCTCAAACACATCAGTAATCACAACAGCAGATTGAGTGTGGTGGTAGAGGAAGGAATCAGAAGGAACAATAGGGAAGATATAGATTGATGTTCTCTTTTCTTCTTCTCCCAGTAATTCTGATGTTCCCTCTTAGGGAAGTATTCACTGCTGTGTCTCAGTTTGTTTTTGTTTTAATAATCACTCTTTAACAGTATTTTTCCCTAATAGTATTAAATATTTCATTACCTTAATCCTTTGGCATTTGGAGATTCAGTACAAGGTTAGTGTATGCCCATACAAAGAAGAATAAAGGTATCAAATCCTGTAAACATTTGGTGTAAAGTTACACTGATTTGTGTCTGTGTTGGATAATTGCCCTTTGTACCTACCTGTGTCTTCTACTTAGTGAGACTATTAGAGCCAAACTAGTGAGGGAATCAGAGTTAATGGAAATTGGTTTCTCTATGTTTGCCATATTTGTGTAATTACCAACTCATATTAGTCATTCTGTAGTTTTAATTTGAAAATCTTATATCCTGTATATTCTGTTGATAGTTGACATCTGAGGAGGTTAAATAAAGAGCAGATACTTTACTCTTTATGTGGGTAAGTCATAAAATTATTGCTACAAAATCATAAAAAGGTTTATTACATTAAAAAAACTCAAAATCTGAAGCTGTTGTTTCTCAGTATATTCGCCCTCCAAATCTATACACTGCTGGAGGTGGAATTTTCAACTCTTTACCCCTTCTCTGAAGAATTCTATGCTCTTCAATTTACACCATGTCAAATGGCAAGTTTGGCATCATCAAGGGACTCCAACTGTGCTCTTTCTCAATGTTCTTTGAGATTGGGGAACAAACAGAAGTCTGGAAAGTCCAGATCAGAGTGGTACGGTAGATGGGTAAGAATTCCCAGTGAAGTTCTCTTAGAACGGTCTTTACTGCTCTGCAGGAATAAGCATTATTATGATGGGGAAAAAAAAAAAAATTTTTTTTTTTGGCACAACTTTCCTGGCTTTTTTCTCACCAATGCAGTTTTCAGTTTTATTATAACTTCATGACATGCCCCCAAGATCATTTTGTGTCTTTTGAAGAAATATATCAAGATTAGCCTGAGGAATCCTTAAAAACATTTGCCATAATCTTCTGAACTGATTTCTCTGCTTTGAAATTTAACTGGCCCTAAAGATCTCCTGGGAACCCTTTTATTTTCATCCAAGGCACCCTTGTCAATGTCACTAAGACAAGTGCATTATTGAAAGACCTTGTCTGCAGCTGTCCATTGATTAGAGAGGCATGTTTAAATACATTTTGTTTGGAATAAACCCATACATATATAATCTAGAACCCCAGTAGCAATACTTTTTGGCTCACCCTCAAATAACACTAATTTTAAAATTGAAAACTACGTTTATATCCACATCAATACTAAATGAGAACTCTGAAATATGTTAGGTATCTATGTTTAAAGTAGTTAATATTTCATTATTTTTAAATATGAGGTTAATATTTAGAATCGAACAAAATGATGAACAAATAGCTCTTTCTCATAGTTCTTTATTATTTTTAATTTTTGTTTTCTTCAAATATGGTTTCATTTGGTTGGTAAAGATTTAATAAGTTTGAGGTATGTTTTAAATATTTGAGCTTTAACATTAATTATGCATTTAGAATTAAGGTCTATTATTTGACTCCTGTTGAAGCAATTATGTATTTATTATTTCCTTGTAATGTCAATATACCTCATGTTTTTTATTGTAACAGGAAAATGTAATCAGCCTTGATGGTACTTAAAAATTTCTTAACTTTTTGTCTTCTATCTCAACCAAAAGTTAGATAAACAGAGGGTAAAAAAAGATACACAAACCTTGAGAAAGGGTTTATAAAAGAAGATGCATGGAAGAGTTGTTGAGTTTCATTCCTTTTAAATAGCCAGCATACTTATGGACATCTTATTGAAATAATATTTAAATATTGTTTTCTAGCAAAGATCCGCATGGACCAGATGCAGTTTATTTGGAAGATTTTATATCTTGTGCTGTACACATTATTCTCTTTAATATGTTTTAAAATACGTGTATTGATTTGCTTTTAGGATTCTTAATCATTCAACTTCTGTCACAAGAAACAAGCCAAAACAAACTGTGGAAGGTGAAAAGAGGTATAGAAAGTATCTTAGTCATTATATCAATATTTGTAATAAGACTTGACCCCCAACATTGAAATATAGGTTTTATTTGAATTGTTGTTAGGAGTTGCTGAGTTGGTTCCTACTCATAGTGACCCTGGACACAACAGAACGAAACACTACCTGGTCCTGTGCCTTCCTTACTATTGCTGTGATGTTTGAGCCCATAATTATTGACACTTTGTCAATTCATCTCATTAAGGGTTTTCTGTTTTGTTAAACTCTTGACTTTAGCAAACATATCCTCTCCAGAGACTGGTGTTTCCTGATAACATGCCATTGTCGCTTCTAAGGAGCAATTCAACTGCACTTCTTACAAATAAAATTGTTTCGTTCTCCTGACAGTCCATGGTACTTTGAATATTCTTCACCAACACCATAGTTGAAATGCATTGATTCTTCTCCCGTTTTCCTTATTCATTGTCCAACTTCAGCTGCATGTGGGGTCATTGAAAATACCATGGCTTGGGATAGGATTAGTCCTCAAAGTGACATTTTTGCTCTTTAACACTTTAAAGAGGTGTTTTGCATCAGATTTGCCTAATGCTATATGTCCTGTGA